ACTTGTTTTATTGTTTATTTTATCTTAAATTTAAATATCTTTAAGCAATAAAGTAGACCAATATAAAATAGCCAACATTTGTTCTGGCAATTTTTTTTTTGGAATACTTCGGAATAGTAAAAATTAATTAGGATACAGGTGTTGAATATTTAGTTTTCTAATGCATCATATATATGTAAACTTTTTTTTCAGAATTACAAGATTGTCTAAAAATGTCCAAAATTTCATTATCTGATCTACAATTAATATTTATCTATTTTTATTTTTTGAACAGATTTACAATGCCTACAAGCTGTTGTTCAGTCAAAAACTAAAACGCTCAGTGCTAAATGTCACGACATGCTATTACAGAGGATGGAAATGTTTAAAAACGCTAAAGCATTGGTTAGAAAACATACCTTATACATAAAAGTTATTAATCTCTATTTAATTTCTTTTTAGTATTTCACTTATTATCTGTATGATACACTTACTTTATTTTTATATAAAAAAATTTTGGTTCTCATTACCAGAATACTTTTGAATTTCATGGTTCCCCATATTTTATAATTAAATTCAATTATAATACTTTAATTCAATTTTGTAGATTTATCCAGAGAGTTTACAACAGTTGTATGGACAAGTTGCCAAATCACCTTCCAAGAAATATCTTATAGTTGTTTTGTTCACTTTCACGGGACTAATATTTATAGTTGGATTGTTTTGTGGCCGTGTTAGTCGAAGRAGTGCTATTTCTAAAAAAAAATAGATGCTATTTTATTATTATCGGCTAATCCTGATAAGTAGATTCATTAAATATTAATGAAATGATTTCGTGAATTTATCTTTATAATATGTTATAGATTTTAAGCGGATGTGTCCATCATATAATATGCTATTTACTGTTAGATGCGTTAATGTTAACTATTATGATAATGGTGATTTTAGTTGTAATACAATGAACAAAACAATGATACAAYTTGTGTTATTTGTTAATTTTTGTAAACATAATATGCGAAAGTTATTATCAATATGGTAAAAAGTATATAGTAAGTATATTGTAAACCAAATTAAATATTAGTAAAAATATTATGTTGTAAGAATCA